TTGCATTCGTATTGTAGTCCTTCCTCAGCGCAGCTTAGACAAAGTACATTACATGGCTTGGGGTGAAGACCAAAAAACTTAGAATGGAAAACACAACAAAACTAATTGAATTAAAACTAAATGCAACTTTTATCCCCAGCAATTACGGAAGTGGATGACAAGGGGATGGGTCGTAAATGGGGGGGCAAAACATCAAGCCATAGAAATACATTTTCATTTTCATTTCTATTTCATTACAATTTCATTTAAGTGAAGCTTAAAAGCGCACCAAATGGCAAATGGCTGCCTGCCGTGGCAATTATTTTTGTAGATTTTCCCCATTCCCGGGCTCTTTCTCCGCCTTCCCAATGTAGGTAAACAATGGCAAAAACACGAAGTAAGAAGCAAGCCCAAGCCACCTGGAAAACCATGGACAGGGAGGAGGCTCTTGAGGACGAAACAACAGCAGGCTCCAGATTGAAAAACAAGTTAATTGCAATAGCTTTACTTGGCTTTGGCTTGACTTTACCTGCAGCAAGCCGGCCAAGCAATGAAAGTTAACATCTTCTTTATTTTGGTTGGTAAGGCCAAGCTTGAACGCCGATTGGGTATTTCTTATTGTTTTGTCGGAATAGTCGTGAATATTTTAAGCTATTTCAATGATCACTCTCGCGCTCATTTCGGTGTAGCCGCTTCTCTTAGCTTGAAACTCGAGTAATTAATTTCCTAAACACACACACGTTCAGGCACTGAGCACGTCCATAAATACTTTTGTATATTGAATATTTTATTTATACCTTACCAGGATTCAGTCTCTTTTGAAATGTTTTAGCTGGCTCCTGCTCCCTTTTATTTTCCAGCACTTTCTCGACTTTTCTTTTAATTGTTCACCTCAGTCGCATGTGCTCAAGTCATTTTCAATTGTATTTTAATTAAACTCACCGCTAAAAAGAGCAAAACCAAGGACGGTAACGTTAACAGGACCATAGGTTCCTGCGGCTATAAATTTAACGGGGCTTTGGGTCATAAATTTTCAATTGCCTTTTAATTTGCATATACTTAGCCCAAGAAAGGGCCATAACAATAACATCCATTTAACCGCAGACCAGCCATTGTGCGACTAATTACAGCTTCTTAATGAATAGGCACAGCGCGGCACTTACCTGTAACGAAAGCAAAAGAATGTTCAGGTGTTTAGATAGGTGTTCTGTCATTATGTTTAAAAACTTTGGCAAACAAAAGCTAAAGTTTATATTTTTATAAAAACTTGTATATAAAAAAGGATTGGTAAATAAATACGATTAAATATAACCTTTGTTAATTTGCAAGATGCGCAATAGCATTTTGCATCTTTAATCTTAAAAATTCGGATGATTTCATCATATAAGTGAAAGAAAAGTTCAAAATTGTTATTTATAACGTTTATAAAAATATATATACATATTATTTATATTTCCAAACTGGTTTTTATACAAAAGAGTTACGAATGTAAAATATTTGCTTACCAGCAGAGTAGTTTACTTTTACGAAAGAGTATTAAAAACTAATGAATTAACAATAACCTTACTAAGAAATTTGTAGAACTCTATCGTATGGAATTCATACATTCATTCATTGTATAGTTCCTCTCTTATATAACTTTTTTTTTAACTCGGTGGTAGTATTCCTAAAATTTCTGCAATTCCTTAACAACAGCAACCAACTGAATAAACGTAATATTCTACTTGACTATCTTTTCCTCTGGCTTGGGTTTGCATATTATTGTGGATACCTTGCTGTTTAATATTCCAACAAACGTTGTATTGTTCTAAGGGTTTTTTAGCATGCTTGCACTTACTGTAGTCGGTCCTTTCCCCATTTGGTACTAATGCCTGCTTGGCTCACTGAGTCTAGTTGAGTTAAGTTGGAAATTCATAGTGGGAGGCATTAGTAGCTCATATGTACATTTTTCTCTACAAATAATTTACGAAACGCTTTCAATCTGGGCCAGAGAAACTTGCAGATTTTTGCCCGCATAGTTCAGTTTGTGGATGTGCGGTTAGATTTTAGTATCCAAATAATTTTCGGAAATAGTTCTCTCCCTTAAGGGGGTCTTCTCATTCAAAAGCCGTTTTTTTGACCCTTTTTAAAAAAATTCTTATTTGAAAACGCAAAGAATAATTGAAAACTTTTTTTATTTATTGTATTCAAAAATGTTCAAAGTAACTAAAAAAGTTGTTCTTGCCTCGATACGAGGGTTGTTCAAAGAGTAATGAGACTTCAAACTTGATGGTCGAAAAAAAAGGTGTCGTCCTGGCGGCCACGATTCAGGGTCTCCAGAGCGTCCGAAATGAAAAATAAAAACGGGGTTATAATCAGAATAGATGTCATTTTCGGGTGACGGAACAGATTTTTTTAAAAATTTTTTTAAACAAAATGGCGGCTATTCAAAAAAAAAATTCTGTTTCGGGCTTTTTTTTGTAGTTTAGTGTAAAAAAAAAATATTTTAAAAAATTTTAAAAAAATCTGTTCCGTCACCCGAGAATGGTGACAATTCTGCGTCGATTCCACTTCGTTTCATGAAAATCGGTTTAGTTAAACTGGAGATACCATGGCCGCCAGTTCGAAAAACGTGGTTTCGAGATAAACGCGTTTGAAGTTTGAAAAAAAGCTCATTTTGCATAGAACTTGCTTCACAAAAAAGGCTGTATCTTCTAAAGTATTTCGATTTCTAAAAATCCTTTTGGGGACATATACACACCATCCCAAGCTATAAATAAATGCAAAAAAAAAATCGAAAAAAAAAAGTTGCCCAATGAGAAGACCCCCTTAATTTGTCGAAAAAATAGAAATGGTCTGAGCAGTTTGGTAATAATGCTAGAATCCTAAATAATTTAAAATATTTAAATATTTGAGTACCGCAAAAACCTAAAAAAGAACACATATTTATAAAAAAAACATAATGCAAATTGTCCTACAGCGCTCTCCTTTTCTACGTGGTTTGTTTATGAAACAAAGGTAAAAGAGCTCCTCGGTGTACGCAATTAATGCCGCATATTGTTCTCAGATCTCGGACAGTCTGCGCCTCCCCGGCACGATGCCTATTTGGCAACCCTTGAAACCATTGTTATTATGGATTATTGCCTACATATATCTCTTATACGCAACGTGAAGGCTTGCACAGTGCTGTTGCGTTGCGTATTTACGATTGTGCAGAGACGAAAACCCACCACACAAGATAAACAGGCGAGGCCAGAGAGTCGGAGTCCATGGAAATTAAGCCAATACCAATGACTGGACTGCGGTTGCTGCTCGAATGAGTCTCAGCCACGTTAATTGCAACGCTTTGTGAAGTCTTTCGTGCCACTCCCGGCTCATCCACTAACGGATGCATGTGTGCATATCCCGCTGCCCAGAGAGGAGCGTAGAGTCATGCATTTTTTCGCCGTGCGGTTTTCCCCACATTTTCCAGACTGCGTGCGGAATATTTACTGCATGGCACATTAAGCAGGCAAGTGGTGATATATTTGAGTTTATGAGTGCCTTCCGCATCCTGCCCACCCAAAAGATCCTAAAATTAACTGTTTTTACCCGCTTCTCATAAGAGAGTATATTGAGTTTGTGTATTTAATCGATCTATATATTAAATTGGAGTAAAAAGTTGCTTTGAATAAATATTAATATAAAATATAATATCAATATTATATATTACATATGGGCAATTCTCTGATGTTGAACGCATTTAAACTGAAAAAATCATGTGCCAAGACTATTTTTATTTTACAAAATTTGAAACTTTTAGCTTTCATTATAGTCGTATGACACTCTAATGCAGTTTTCATTAATTAGCTACTTTATTATAACATTGAAAGAGACATGTGTAATTTTGCTTGGATTATTTTGGTAACACGACTACGGTCACACCGGTCGAAAAAGGTAAACAATAAAATCGGCCGCCATTCGCGGAGTATTACTATGAATTTTTTTAATTTTTACGTCGAAGTATTCACGCATAAATGAAGGCAGAATACTTTAAATTTATGTTTTTTACCTATAATGCTTAAATTTTTTTAATTATTACCAAAAAAAATTTTTTAATCAATTTTACAGCGCAAGAACCTTGACACCGCAAAACATATTATTTTTCCTAATGTTCTCATATTTTTTCAGTTCAAAAACCAGCGAAATGATATAAAAATAAAATTCTCATTGTGAGACCATACTGCCAATAAACTGGCTAATACATTTTTCAATTTTCTTCATTAAAACCGTATTTTTTTTATCGAGTGTCTAGTATATATTATGTAGATCTATCGATTTTCCCGGTAATGAAGTAGCTATGCATTATTCTAATGCATTAGAGTACCATATAGTCGTCTTGCTCGCACTTGTGTACAACGCTATAGCGCTGTCAAACCTTTAATGAAGTCTCTAATTAATGCGCTAATGTCATCATATTATTAATAAAACCTATTGAAAGCAATTGTTATACTCTTCTATACTTATATAGTCTTTCCATTACAACAAAAAATATACATTTTAAAAAATGAAATCCGGAGTAGATAGAAATGTGTTGAAAAAAAAACATGGCTACCACGCCTGAATTACTCAAACTATCGGCAACTGAAAACAGCTGTTCCCATTTGAACTGCTTTTACGATATTTTCAGTCATTTAGTGACTCCGAAGTCGCTGAAAATATCGACTGTATGACCGAAAAGCCAGTGGGCTAAGGAGTTCGTTTGAATTAAAGATGTTTATGGCAAAATTAAAAGACCATTAGTTTAAAATAATTAAAGATTATATAAAAGAATTCAAAAGGTAAGGTCCATGTCATGCAACTAAGATTTTATGTAAAAATTAAGGGGCAGAATTTCTGGCATTACGGCTGAAAATATCGGCGATACATAGCCTATATTTTTAGTAATTCGGTTATTTAGTCGTAAAGAGAATACTCAGTATATTGGAAAACAACATCGATGTTGTTATCGATAGTCACGAAATCATCAATTTCTCCCCACCTCTAATCTACAGGATGAAAAATTGTGATCATATGTTTTACCCACTCTGAGTTCTGCGGCATTTTAAAACTGTACCACATATATATCCAAGTATAATACTAATACAAGTAAAAAAAGCGTCAGTAGTTAAAGTCATGGAAGTGTAAGTCAATCTAAATACTGAAGGTCTTAAATCCCTTTGTCAAAACACATTTTCTGCATTCAATTTTAGTCAAATCTGTCGCGCTTGCCTGGGAACGTCACCTGTAATGATCAACATATTCGAAAACGCTCCAGGACTAGGGATCTCCATCGCCGATATGATCACTCAATGCACTCCCTACGAGATTTATAAAGGAGATTGCTATCCCGAAAACATCTGCGACTCTTGCCTGCACTGTGCTCGAGCCGCCTTCGAGATACGCCAAACCATAGAGACGAGCCACCAGATCTACCTCCAGATGAAAAATACTAAAAATCTACCAGTCAACGTAAATCACGGTGTTGGCTTCAGCGAGAGAAAGAAAAAGCATAAATGCCTTAAGTCGTCTTCCCATAAAAGTATTCTTAATGCACACGCTGGAGACAAACCGTATAAATGTTCTCACTGTTCAAAGTCGTTTTCCCATAAAGGCTATTTTAATGTACATATGCGAACTCACACTGCAGAGCGACTGTACAAGTGTTCCCACTGCTCAAAGACGTTTTCCCAGAGAAGTAATCTCAATACACACATCAGGAATTGTATTGTAGAAAAAACATACAAGTGTTCTCACTGCTCAAAGTCGTTTCCAAGGCAATCTCATCTGCAGAGACACATCCGAACCCACACGGGTGAGAGGCCGCATAAGTGTTCCCACTGTTCAAAGTCGTTTTCCACGCGAATTCATCTGCAAATACACCTCCGAACTCACACTGGAGAGCGACCATACAAGTGTACCCACTGCTCAAAGTCGTTTACCCATGAAACTACTCTTAAAGCACACATCCGAACTCACACCGGAGAGCGACCATACAAGTGTTCCCACTGCTCAAAGTCATTTTCCCAGAGAAGTGGTTTGATTGAACATAACCGAAATCACACTGGAGAGCGACCATTCAAGTGTTCCCACTGCTCAAAGTCGTTTAGCCATAAAAATACTCTTAAAGAACACATCCGAACTCACACCGGAGAGCGACCATACCAGTGTTCCCACTGCTCAAAGTCATTTTATACGACGTATCAGCTTAAAATACACATCCGAATTCACACCGGAGAGCGACCATACCAGTGTTCCCACTGCTTAAAGTCGTTTGTACAGAGTGGTCATCTCAGTAACCACACCAGATATTGTATTGGAGAGAGACCATTCAAGTGTTCCCACTGCTCAAAATCATTTTCCCAAAAAGGTCATCTTAAAACACACATCCGAACTCACACTGGAGAGCGACCATACAAGTGTTCCCACTGCTCAAAGTCATTTTCCCATAAAAATTCTCTTAATATTCATATCCAAACTCACATTCAATAGTTTGACTATTTTTTTTCTCTGAAAAGGACCAATCAACGCACCCCAAGCCACACAGAATACGCAAATTATTCAAATTCTATTTCTTATTTTATTTTATTCTTTTTTTATTTTATTCATTTTTTTATTTTATAAATAACTGAATTGTTAACTAACATTAATGATACCTGCACATAAGCTTGCACCAATAAATAAATTTACTTGAATTAAAAATGTTGTTTTTATTTTGACGAAAATAGTATAATACTTTGGTATGCTTTGCTTGCCCTACTCCATTGAGCCCCTTTAAGCTCGACACGAAACACTCTCCCAGCTATAATATTTTTTGATATGCAGCGATATTTGCAAATTCACAGATTGTAAATATTCGATCAATACAGACGCAAAAATTTATTGTTTTCCTTTTCTTATATATATATATATATATATATATATATATATATATATATATATATATATATATATATATATATATATATATATATATATATATTTTTTTTTTTTTTTTTTTTTTTTTTTTTTGAAAAAGTTTACTACTTTCGTTTCGAATACACGTAGATTATGATACTAGCGCATTAATTATGGGCCTATGACATTGTAGTGCAGTTTTCATTTATTAGCTATGTTTAGAACCTTGAAAAAGTCAACTATATGTGTAATTTTGCTTGGATTATTTTGGTAACACGACTAAGGTAAACAATAAAATCGGCCGCCATTCGCGGAGTATTACTATGAATTTTTTAATTCTACGTCGAAGTATTCACGCATAAATGAATGCAGAATCCTTTAAATTGATGTTTTTTTACCTATAATGCTTAACATTTTTTTAATTATTACCAAAAAAAATTTTTTAATCAATTTTACACCGCAAGAACCTTGCCACCGCAAAACATATTATTTTTCCTAATTTTCTAATATTTTTTCAGTTCAAAAAACCAGCAAAATTATATAAAAATAAAATTCTCATTGTGAGACCATACTGTCAATGAGCTGGCTAATACATTTTCAATTACAATTTTCTTCATTAAACCCGTATTTTGTTATCGAGTATCTAGTATATTTTATGTAGATCAATTGATTATCGCGGCAATGAAGTAGCTTATTCATTATTCTAATGCATTAGAGCGCCATATAGTCGTCTTGCTCGCACTTGTGTAAAACGCTATAGCGCTGCCAAATCTTTAATGAAGTCTCTAATTAATGCGCCTGTGTCATACGGCTATTATCGCGGCAAATGCATTATTCTAATGCATTAGAGAGCCATATAGTCGTCTTGCTCGCACTTGCGTAAAACGCTATAGCGCGGTCAAATCTTTAATGAAGTCTCTAATTAATGCGCCAGTGTCATACGGCTATTAGCACTATAATTGGTGCTAAGATCGATTGTTCGTTTTCAAGATAATTAGAAAAATATAAGGCCTTCGGAAGCAACCGTAGGAAATCTCCCTTTCAAAAAACCAGTTTGAGCACTGATTTCGGCTAAACGTAATGAAATATATTAATGCGATAAATTTTAATGTATTTTGCATAGATTGATCTTAGTAATGATTTTAGTTTAACTTTAAGATATTAAGCTTTTTCTTTTTAATTAATTTATAATCCTAAACATTTAATTTTATTTCTACTCTTGTATTTTTCAAGTGATCTTAGAAAGATAAAGTCAAAGCATAATGCCTATGTTTTAGAAGTTTTTATGATGTTTTTCACCAAAATAATGAAAAATTGAGTTTGCTCGAATTCGCATTCGAATATTTCCAAGTTTGTTTAAAAAAATGCTAAATTCTTTCAAATTTGATCAATTTGAGCATTTCTTTATGCTACTTACAGAACTTTTGAATGTTTTTGGTGTCGGTTGCTGTTCTTGACATTTCTCAGATATAAGTTTTTCGCTGGACTATTTTTCTTTTGATTAATTGGAAAATCCGTAACGAAATAGTAAAGAATACGCAATGCCTTGAGGGGTATTCCGCGATCGGGTCCTGTTTCTCCTTGTTCAGTGGCGAGAAGATGATTTGGCCTGCCAGGGCTTATTGCAGCGTTAAATTCTTGCGGTTTTTGTGTATTTTCCAGGCCAGACACACATTACTTGCCAACTCACTGAGCCAAGCTAACCTAAATTATTGATAAACTGTTTTTGCAGTTGCCTTGGGTAATTAGAGCTAGGCAGCCGATTGGAAAATGATGTAAAAAAGTATAAAAACAATTAGTAGGAGTTGCTTTAGCGAGTGAACTCACTCCCATCACACTTTCAACTTTCAGGGCGATTTCGTTCTCTCTAAGAAGCCGCAGCAATTTAATTTTTTTTTACCGAAGAAAATAAGTTTTCAGCAGGAGTAAAAGTTTCCCCAATGCAAAACTGAGCAAATATTTGCCCTTCGACTTTGGAAACAGCACCTGCAGTCCGTTAAGGTCCATCAAGGTGCACCTAGGAGCGGGCTGGGGAAAATACCTGGTATCAAACAAAAGGCAGAACATTTTACTTGGCTTTTGTTATTAAAAAATTCCTAAAATTACTAAAGATAAATATTAATAACAAGCCGCAGCTAACAGTTGCTTTTCCGGCCCTGCAATAGTCCTTCGTCTGCAGTTTGTTGTTAGCAGGTATTTTTTAATTTGCATTGTGCGGCTTGAGGTAGAGTGCGGTATGGGTGTCCGGGGGCCGAGGCCGTGGGGGCTGGGGGAAAGACAAACTCAAACAATTTGCGTTTTTCATTAAGTCATCTTTCTTCTCCTCCCATCTCCCGGTACTCCGCCGCTCCCAGCACAAGCAACTTGGGAGTTTATTATATGAAATAATTTATCCGAGTGGCATGCCTTCGGCCCGGGCCAGAGCGGAGCGCAGGACAGCTGTCATTAAATGCAGGAGCAAGCATTTGAATAAGCTTCCCATATCCAGGAGAAGAGGAGATTTTGGCTAAAGCAGCGCTGGATGCGGTCGATGGAACGAAATAAGTTGCTGGTCAGCCGGACATCTTCCTTCGCCGCACTTACGGATGATGTATGCAAGCCAAAAGGAAAGACACTGGCAAAGACGGACGGGGTCTGGAGTTCAGTGCATTTAATAGTTTCCATTTTGTTAAATTTCTGCTGCTGCCTGCGGCTTTTGACGTTGGCACTTCCGTTTCCGCTTGAATTATCGCGCACAGCAGGCGGCGGCGGGTTGCAAGAGGCGGGCCACGGGAAATTGCATTAACTGTGGCAAAAGTCGCTGGCAGCCTTTGGGTGGCCTGTCTGCGTTTAATATGCAACTTTCCACACACACACCCAAGCTGCGACACACCTACCTTTAGCTGTCTTGCGTCATTTTGAAATATTTGTGGCATCAAATGCAGTCGTCAACTTGATTAAATGTCATGCATAAAGCAACAGCCAAGCTGCAGATGAAGATGGAGCTGCAGATGGGAATGGTGAGCGGTGGTGGTGTGGGCTGTGGGTTGTGGACTGTGTGGCAAGCAAGAAATTGCAAGGCGTTTGAATAAAAAAGGCAGGCAGCGGAATGAAGATTGTGGCAGGGAGGAAGATGACTAAAAGCAACTGCCAGATGAGTTGAGCATAGGAAGCTGCAACCTGCCGAGATGACATGACCCCAAAGTGACATGCAGATTTGTTTGCCAGAAATATTACTTATGGTTCCGGCTTTAGTGCTATGCCCCGTGGGGCATTTTCAAAGGAAGGGATCAATTACAAAATGAAATGTGACTCACTCTTTAAAAATCGAATTTTGCATACTTTTTGTGAGCTTTTATAAAATGTGTTATTGTTTATGTAATAGATAAAAGAAAAAAGATATCGGGATGCAAACATAGCTAGATCAACTCGGCTGTTAATGGAAAAACAGAATATATTTTACATATTGCTTTACTACGGTATATATATTCCTTAAATATTCACGTTTGGTAGTTGATTTCTATCAATTTGTATAAATAGCCATATTGCAGATTCGAAAAGTTTAGGATAGTCTTGCTTATAAACTAAGGCATTAAAAATCAAAAGTCATTGCAAATTTTGGGTAGACTAAGCTAATAAATCTTTAGAAAGCAGGCAAACTCACTAGGGTGTATAGCTCGTTACGGAAACAAAAAAAGGTATCTTCAGGTGTCTTTTGCTTTTAATAATTTAGCTAGGTAACTTATTTTTAGGCATAATCAGTAAATATTAAAAGTAAAGGATAAAGGGCTCGCTCATCTGGTTTCTGGTTTCTGTTGCTTAGCTGAGAGTTTAGTATGATACATATCTTTTTTACCAAGATTAAAAGTGGCAGCAGCAATAGGTCTCGAAATATAATGAACGTGCTGACAGATAATGTCATCAAATGTCGTGTCCAGCCTATTGCTTCTTACTTGCACACACAGATTCGAAAAATTCATTACTTTAATTTCTTTTGACATAAACATACGAATGCAGAATATATTTGTGAATTGAATCAATTTATCTGAAATTTCTAGGACCAGAACAGAAGGGAGCCGAGGGCGCCCAGAAATATGCAGCAATTTATTTTATCTGCCCGCTTGCCAAACCTCTTTCTGTTCATTTGATTGAAAATGCGAATTACTTATGTATAGCCGAGCATTCTCTGTTGGCTATATACGGCGAGTGGCAAATCTGAAATCAAATCAAATCAATTTCCTCAAACGTTACTTGCTAGCCTGAGTTCCATCTTTCTCCCAGCGTCACTGACTTTGACGTTCCCCGTTCTGTTTGGAATTTTATCCCTGTCTGATCGAATTTACATTTTTGTGGCACATTTCAGAGCTGGCACATTATGAGGGGAAGGACGCTGATGGGTTTCCTTTAATTATGCCATCGGCGAAAGTTTTTGTCTGACGGAGCGGAATTCAAAAGTCCGTAGGTCGAGCGAAGATCAGGACGGAAGCTGTCAATAGAACACAAAGAATTCTTGTAAAACAGGCAGCAACACTAAAAAACTTCAGTCAGCTAGCGAATTGCCTAAAGCCACATGAGCAAACTCATTTTAGTTGGCAGGGCAAACAAAGCCACAAGAATGTTAAGCATTTTATAAATTACTATTTTATCGAGGGTCAGGTCAGACAGTCAACTAAACATGCCATCTCTTTGCAGGACCTACACCATCGATCACTTTCTGGGTCTATGCACAACGCACCAGACATAATTAGCAAAAGAATGTTCCCATCAAATGGGCAAAATGGTTCAAAATG